GTCGTGAGATGAAATCTCGCGTATTGCATGTTCTTATGTTCGTAATTTGTCTGTTCTTATATTAAACCGGTGTCCTTTCAGATGAAGAAACGCAGGCCGAGGTTGAGAAATGGAAATCTCGTCTCGACGCCGAGACTTCCGAGATCATAGGCGAAAGTTATGTTTACTTAGATGGCCGTGCTAGCTCTTGTCGTCTGGAAGAGTGTAACCTAGGCAACCTAATAACAGGATGGTGCTGTATACCATTACAAGAAATTGGATCACAGAGACGTGAACATGGTAATATGGAACAGCGATAGTATCGGAGACTCCATTGATAAAGGTTAGACAACAATTTCACAAGTTACCATTCACTGCATAATTTTGTATCCCTTTTATTGCGATTTTGCACGACTTTATAAGCCTACTTATCAAGCATGTTCATTCAATTTTGATGTTCAAAACTGAATATACCAGTCCCGCGTATTCAACAGACGGGTTTCAATATCACATAGTATTTTTTGTTCGAGTACGTCACACAATCCGCCATTTCTTTTAGTCTACGTCATAGTTAGTCGTCTTAGAATCACTAAAACAGTCGTACATACACATAGCCATCATATAGTGCTTTACAATGTTTTTGTATGAAAAGTCATCCGCCATTATGATTGGTCGAGAAGCACTAGGTGGGTTTGAAAGTCAGATAAAACCCTCGTATGGGGGATGTATCTTACAATACTGCCTCGGACACTATTCTGCGATGACACCAAAGCAACCCAATAATACATACTCGTAATCTGTTGCAGGGAATATCACCGTCGGTGACGTCATGAACGCTCTACCTTACGGCAACACGCTGGATTTGCTTGAACTACAGGGTGTGTACATCCGCGAGGCACTAGAATATGCCGTGTCTGAATACGACGGAGTTACACAGCAAAACAGATTTTTGCAAATGTCAGGTGAGCTTCTGAGGTAATTATTCATATAAAAACAAAGTTATAAACAAAGTGAGTAAATTGTAGAATTTGTTGAGGCATATAAATATGGCCTATTTTTAATATTAGGTATACGAGTGACCTATGACCTCACCAAACCAGCATATTCTCGGGTATCAACAGCAGACGTTGTATGCACATATTGTGATATACCTGAATCAGTGCCCTTGGACGATAACCTTGTGTACAAACTGATATGTAACAACTACCTTGCATCGGGTGGCGGCGGCTTTGATATGATAAACGACAATAAACTATCTCAAATTACAGGTGAGTACTAGGCTGGCATATTGGTCCGCCAAGTGAAATTGTTTTTCACTAAGATCATACTCGCGTTCTGGTTCTTCAGCTCTCATATTTATTATTTTCAAAAGTAGATCACGGTAGTACAATATATATCAATTTCATAAATATAAAACAATTTTATTCTTGTTGATTTGGTGTTTTAATATGCGATAATTTTGCGAGATGTTAATCGGTCATTGGCGTCATTACTTTCAATATATCGTACAAATTTTAAACTTTTCCCATTCATTGATGTGTCCATAAACATACTAGAGTGTCAAACCTTAATTTAAACAATCAGTTTTTGCATCAACAGTTAGTTAGGCTGGATACATATAAGTCGATGATAAATTACAATTACAATGCATAATCAACGTATGAATATTTATGACTATATTTTGATTGTGAATATTTAATTTCTGGTAGACCAAAATACAAAATGTTTACCATAGAGCTTGGAGTTGAGAGTTTTTTTTTGTATTTTCTATAAATATATGGAAGTCACAACACTTCACGATCTCTAAATTTTGAGACGAGTGTTGAATTTGTGTCTTAAACCTTCTAACAGAATGGTAAGTTATTTGTCAGAGTAGTAACGCTATCATCTTTTAACAACATCACCTAAGGCGTCAGTGCATATAATCCAACAAATTATTTTTTCAACTGACACTTGACGTCATCAATAAATGCGGCCAAGAGCCGGGTTTGATATATTGTTTGTAATATCATTAGATTATGCATATTTTCATATTTTCTCAGTTAGTGTAGTCACAAATGATACCATTGAGGAAATCGAATCTTCATTTTTGTTTCGGATAAAGTGTATTTTGAGTTGCTGTAATTATGATATGAAGATATCCGTAGATGTTGTTTTCAATACAAGGTATATCTGTTATTAAAATGTACAGTCACATGTTCATACTGGCGTTTTAACCTGAAATACAAATCCCTATGTGACTTGAACGTAGTACAGTTTCAATGGCATTATATACACTAATACTTTTTATTTTCACTTCTTTTCGACAGGTGCTGATGAAATTGACGTCATTGTCGATTACATTTCAACCTTGACACCTATGTACACTGGTATAGAAAACAGAATTATCTTTGCTGAGGAAATAGAAAAATGTGACGTCAGCTCATCTGTAAAACAGAACATTGCAACTTTTGCAATATACTTGGTAGTACTGAGCATGTTATTAAATACAGGACCAGTTTGGTAGTCGTTGAACTTTTTGTGATGGTATGATGGTCGTGAACAAATAATTTACAAAGAATACTTTTATTGCGTAATAGAATCACCATTTGAAAGTACGGGTTTACAGATATTAACATGGCATGTAGAGTTTGTCAGACATGAGTAAATTACACGACGGGGACTAGCCTCTAAATGCGATTTGCAAGATTTTGACCACAATTGTCATTATATCTCTGAACACATACTTTGTTTCTGACGTATACCACAAAAGAATATAGATCAGATCATTGAACTGAACGTAAGTTAATTTTTCCATAAATACTAAAGATGTTTTGTATACTTTTTAACTCGCTCATGGATAATTTAACACAACCACGTGACAATCAAAATTACCTTTCTCGGCTGCTTCCTTGCGAATCTATATTCCAAGAAAACCCATCGGCCGTAATAGCACAATCTATGAGTGATGAGTTTGAACCCTCAATTCCCTGCCCAACTGTTTTCAATAGTTGAGGAAGAACTCTATCTCCTTGTCTACTTCAAACGTTGCAACTTGACCACAGCCACACAGTCTTTATCAAGGTGCATGGTCTGGTTGACAATAGCAGTTTACACGTTATGTAGCTAAAACACTGTCCGCACAAGTTATGTATAATAATTCTACGTGTTTGTC